TATAACTCAGGTGCACCTTTCGAGCGGATTGCCATGGATGTAGCCGGTCCATTTCCTATGAGCGCACAGGGAAACAAATACGTCCTTGTGGTTATGGACTACTTTAGCAAATGGCCGGAGGTATACCTGATTCCAAACCAGGAAGCTAAAACAGTAGCGGAGGTATTCACCTACAATTGGGTTGCGAGATACGGTGTACCTATAGAGCTGCACTCTGACCAGGGAAGAAATTTTGAGTCGGCAGTGTTCCAAGAGATGTGCCAGATACTGGGTATCCGGAAAACTCGAACGACGGCTCTTCATCCCCAATCAGACGGCATGGTGGAACGGTTCAACCGAACCCTGGAAGAGCATTTGCGGAAGGTCGTGGACAAGAATCAAAAAGATTGGGATGTCCGCATACCCTTGTTCCTGATGGGATACCGGTCAGCAGTGCATGAAACAACGGGTAAAACTCCTGCAAGGGTAATATTCGGCAGTGAGCTCCGTTTGCCTAGTGATCTGAAGTTTGGGGTGACTGGTGATGCTAGAAGGATTGGAAAAGAGACGTCAAACATCCTGGAAGAGGAGCTGAGAGAGATACATGCTCTTGTGAGACAGCGCACACAAATTATGAGTGACAAAATGAAAGCCAGGTATGATAAGGCGATGAATTCCGAGGGTTTCCAGGAAGGAGATTTGGTGTTGCTGTACAATCCACAACGAAAGAAAGGTTTGTCCCCAAAACTACAATGCAACTGGGAAGGTCCGTATAAGGTCGTAAAACGGCTAAATGACGTAGTGTATCGGATCCAGACCGTCGGGAGACCAAGAAACAAGATGAAGGTGGTCCACTTGGAAAGGCTTGCAGCGTTTGGAACCGCAAGTGTGTCTGATCGGGACGATCAGACTTAGGTGGAGGGCAGTGTGGCGAATACTGCGGCAACACAAAGCGAACAACGAGAAATAGGCAGAATGTTCGAAGAATGACGTAGAATGTTCCACAAAGAGAAACGTCAAGTTGGATGAACACTGCGAACAGCGAGAGAAAGAGAATGAGCGATAAACTTCAGAATGTTCTAGAGTTACCATAAGTGCCAGCGCAGGTATATAAGGGTGCCGCCACCACGAGGTGAGTTAGTTGCAAGTCAGCAAGCTACAAGCAAAGTGAGCAGAGAAGTGAGTGGCGAATAAGCAAGCTATAAGTTTAATTGTGTTAACAAGTAGTAAAGCATTGTTATTGCTTTAACAAGTATTGTAAAGTGTTTTTACTGTATTAGCGAGTATTGTAAATTGTTTGTTGTACAATAAAGTTAATTGTACTACAATTTGGTCATCGATTGCATTTATTTAACAATCCAGCGATACGAACCGAGAGGTTTGGGAAATCCGGACGAGGATTCAAGGGAGGATTCAAGGATAATCGTAACAGTACTAAGAAAATATATGAGCGAATTAAAAAGTGTATACAATTTATAGCCGAAAAGTACATTTTTTGTATAGATTTCGTACTGAAGGAACGATTTCATTTCCCAACACTGATACAGAATGTAAAGAAACACAGGGTTGCAAGGAAAAAAAGTTGAACGATCTCAAAGTTGGCTGGCGACCAACTTTGTTGAAAGCGATTAGTTGAAAGGCCGTTAGGACGAGGCGATTTTTGCTTTCAACTAAAAGTTGCCTGAAAAATCGCTTGTGCGAAAGCCCTATAAGTGTGTAAGTATGGACAATGACCGAAACGAAGATGGCCGCACATGTGAGTAACGTGTTACCAGAATACGCTTCAAGATGTGTTGCCAGATGTTCACAGCGTAAGAATATTATAAAGGCGAATATAATAAGTTATATTATTTTATAAGTTTAATAGCAATTATGAGTATTATGTGTGCAGCGTAAGAATATTATAAAGGCGAATAGGAACAAGTAAAGAATACCCACCGTTTCGCTTGAAAAAAAACTAAAAAAAGAAATCGAAAAATATAAGTTGCGTCCACAGTATTTTTGCGTAGAACTCCTTTCTGCGTAGGCGGCCTTCGGCCGCGCTTTAGGATTATAACACTTACCAAATAGAATTCCCCTTTGGTGTGCACCAACTGGGGCACCGCACACACCGCATTGAACTGTATATCAGGCTTAATGGAAAATAAACAAATTATTTATAAACGTGTAATCGTTAAATAATGAAATGAACAAAATATAAAATAGATAAACGTTCAAATAGCTTAATTTAGGGGAAAAGTATGTTTTCTGCACACTTGTATTTGTTTGAAATGGTTTTTTATCGTACATTTTTGTTGTGTTGTAGGTTCAATAAAAACGTCTTTGTTCACTGATGCTTACAAGTCTAGCTCTTTATTAGTAAATCCTCGCCTAGAAATGACAGTCGCAATCGTACACATACATACATGCATAGGGTTGCCAACGCTAGGCTAATACAGTCATCACATCTCTCTTCTTTGAGGAACTTAAATTCTACTACATGTATTGTTTCAATACTCTATTCATTACTTTACAAAATCATTTGGGTCATCATTAGATCATTTAACATCAAAGTATAGATAGTCATTACATTGTTTAATATAATAATTTAGATAATCATTACATTGTTCAACATAATAGTTTAGATAATCATAACATTGTTTAATATGATAATTCAGATAATCATAACATTGTTTAATGTAATAATTTAGATAATCATTTAATTATTTCACATAATCTTTTAGGTAATCGGGTCGTTTAATCTCCCTACCCGCCCGTGTTCGCGTATCTGTGCTAGGAGCCGGTTCTGTCGATACATTTACTTTTCTAGCAGGCGAGCTAGCTCCTGTGTCTCTATCTGGAGGATCGCTTGCTTCAAATTGGGCCCTTTCGCTATTTAAATCATTTACATTGGTATTTTGACCCTCATATAGTTCATCGTTTTTCCGATTGTCATCACAAGTCGGACCATACAAGTGTCTCCGATTTCTCTCTATCTTATTTCCACTAGACAACTCCACCTCATACGATCTAGGTCTGTCGCAGATCTTAGTTATTCTAGCAGGAACTAACGGTTTATTCAAGTCTTTCCTTACGTAAACTTTATCATTTATATTCAAAGGTCTTAAATTGTGGGCACTTCTATCATAATAGTCTTTTTGCCTAAGTTGTTTTCTAATTAATTTCTCTTTCAACTCTCTATTCTCTCTTTCTCTTTCATAATTTATTTTATTAGGTAGAATTCCTCTGATTTTCCTACCGAGCATGATTTCATTGGGAGACTTTAATCCCTCGCCTATCGGTGTATTTCTGTATTCTAACATTGCCAGATTTGGATCTTTACCTGGATCGTCATCCAGTTTGTTAAACATTCTTTTGATGGTGCCTATGTGCCTTTCAACCATTCCGTTCGATTGAGAATACTTTGCACTGGACGTTTTCCAGGTGAAGTTCCAATCTTTGGCAAACTTTAAGATTTCCACGCTGTTCAGTTGGGTGCCAGGATCTGAATATACAATGTACGGAATGCCATGTCTAGCAAATTGTGATTTTAATACGGCTAACACCGAACTACTAGACATGTCTCGCAATTTAGCAACTTCCACATACTTTCTGAAATAATCCACTATTAGCAGAAATTCTGAACCATGATAGTAAAATAAGTCTACACCTAACGTTTGCCATGGTCCATCCGGGACCTCCCTATTTATTAGAGTCTCTTTAACGTTAGCTTTTCTATATTTAGTGCAAATTGCGCAATTATCTACCATGTCTTCGATTTCTTTGCTCATGAAAGGCCAAAACAAAATTTCTCGAGCTCGATTTTTACATTTTTCTTTTCCAAGATGATTAAAATGTATTAATTTTAACATTTCTTTTCTTAGATTTTTAGGGACTACTATTCTGCTACCTTTGAATATTATGCCATCTATGATACTTAATTCATTTGAGTAGTTATAATATGGTTTTACAATGCTGTGAACCTGCCTCTTATTAGTGGGCCAACCTAGCCTTATGTTTTCCATTAACATTTGCATTTCACCGTCCGACTCTGTTTCTTTAACAAACTGATCTTTTTTATCTAGCGATATGGGAAAGGATTCCATAACTAAGCAAACTTGTGTTTCAATTTCTTTTTCTATATCCAATTTTTCGTGGATACAGTAGGCTCTGGATAACGCATCTGCTAAGAACAACTATTTACCAGGCTTGTATTTAACTGTGATGTTGTATCTTTGTAGTCTGAGCCTTATGCTTTGTAATCTTGCCGGACAGTCATTTATACACTTTTTAAATATTGCCTCTAGTGGCTTGTGATCTGTCTCAACTAAAATATCCTTGCCGTATATCTGTTGATCAAATTTTATGCAGCCAAACGCTATGGCAAGGGCTTCCTTTTCAATTTGAGCATACCTTTCGCGTTCTCATCCCAATTCCACTGCACATTCTTCTTTGTTAATTCTCTTAACACAGCATTTTTAGTCGCTAAACTAGGAATAAGCCTTGATACGTATGTTATCATACCAAGAAAAGTTTCAAGCTCATTTTTATTTTTGGGGGATTTCATATCAACAATTGACTTCACCCTGTCTATGTCAATTTTTATGCCTTGGTCAGTGAAAATATGACCCATGTACCTAACCTCTTTGCTACTCATTTTGCATTTATCTAGTTTAAATTTTACATTCCTATTTTCAGTTCTTTCTAGAACTTTTTCTAGTCTAGCATCATGTTCTTCATGGTCTTTGCCTCTGATCCTAACATCATCAATGTAAATGTCAACGCCCTCTATATCACCAAAGATTTCCTCGAAACACTCCTGAAATACTTCAGTGGCAGAATTAATGCCAAACGGCATTCTTAAGTATCTATATCTGCCAAATGGGGTAATAATTGTCATCATGTAACTACTTTTTTCTGTTAACCTGACTTGGTGAAATGCTTTGTTTGCATCAAGCACGCTAAAAATTTTGCTTCCTGCTATGCTAGAACTCAATTCATCAAAGGTAGGTATTTTTGTATGCTGTCTTTTGATAGATTTGTTAAGCGCAGTTGGATCTATACAAATTCTGATCTGACCATTCTTTTTTTTTGCTGATTACTATAGGGTGAACCCATTCAGTTGGCTCAGTAACTTTTTTTATTATGCCATCTTTTTCCATCTTATACAATTCTTCCTTCACTAAGTCATTTAGTGCAATTGGTATTTTCCTGCCGGCTGCAATGTTAGGTTTCGCATCGGTTTTTAATTGAATGTCATATTTGAAATTAGTAATGCAACCCATGCCTTCAAATGCCTTTTTATATTTATTTAATATTTTGTCTATCGACGAACCATTATCATCTACCTTTATGTTGTGAACTCTTTGCACAATGTTGAGTTCTATTAGACTAGGTAAACCTATTATCACCGGCTGGTTATCAGTATTTTCGGTTACTATAAACTCTAAATCTGCCCTTTCTCTATTTGAAAATTTACAATTTAAACTACATTTGCCAATAACACTTATACTCTGGCCACCATATGCAGTTAATTTTACATTCGTTTTAACAATCTTGGTACTTTTTAGTTTAGTACTTATTAATTTACTTATTGGCATGACGTTACATCTAGCACCTGAGTCTAGCTTTACCTCAATTTTGCAAAAATTATTTATTGTAATCTGTTCAGTCCAATCTAATTCGTTACTAGAGCTCCCCATGCTACCGACATACAACGAATCTACTTTTTCATCGCGAGTCTCTGAGTTTATTTTAATTTTGCACATTCTCGCAAAGTGATTTTTTCGTTTACAATTATTACATACTTTACCAAACGCTGGGCATTGGCGAAGTCCATGATGTCGTCCGCATTTCTGGCAAACCCGCTGCTGGTTGGACGAAGATGGCGACCTCCTGCCAGCGCCACCACTTGCCTTGTTGTTGCCGCTATACGTCTTGCTGTTTTCGCCGCCCCCGGTCTGCTTCCGCGAACTTCCGGTTGCCACGTGGTTCTCGACTTTTCTCTTTATCACGTGTATTTTCGAATCTTCACCAATCGTCTTCATTTGCATATCTGCCAGTTCTACTGCTCTGCATATCGGTATGCATTTATCCAGATCTAGGTTCTCTTCTCGCAGTAAACGGTTCCTCAGTTCGGTGTCGCGAATTCCACAGACTACTCTGTCTTTTATTAGGCTGTCTTTGAGGTTACCAAAACCACATGTGGCACTTAGCGTTTTTAGGTCTGTTAAGTAATTCGTAAAATTTTCACCACTTTGTTGCGCGCGCGTTAAAAACACGTGTCTCTCCACTGTCTCGTTTGCTTTCGGGGAGCAGAAATCCTCAAATGCTTTTATCACTGCATTGAGTTTCTTGTCATCCGCCTCACTTAGTCCAAAGGTGTTATATTTTTCGAGTGCCTCGTCCCCGATTACGTGCAGAAACACAGCTACCTTGCGGTCTTCCTCTTTCTTGTCCAGCCCCGTGGCTTTCATGTAAAGGTCGAACTTCTGTTTCCACTTCTTCCATTTTTCCTTTGTGTAGCCGTCGAATGTCAACGGTGGTGGTGTCTTCATCGAAGTTTCCATTATTTCAGGGTTTTTCTTCTCTTTAACCTTAGTCGGAGCAGTAAATCTACGTGCCAACGTTTATTTGTTTGCGACTTTTCACCAAACACGTGTTCGAGCAGATTTTTGGAGCTCGCTTTGCGTTTTTGCTTAGCCCTGCTGGCTTTCAATACACGCCGTTGAACTGTTTTCCGGCAAGAGTCTATATTAATTTCTGAACCAGCGATACTCAAAAGGGGTAGTTGAAATTAAACTACCGGCTGCGCCATGTTGTGTTGTAGGTTCAATAAAAACGTCTTTGTTCACTGATGGTTACAAGTGTAGCTCTTCATTAGTAAATCCTCGCCTAGAGATGACAGTCGCAATCGTACACATACATACATGCATAGGGTTGCCAACGCTAGGCTAATACAGTCATCATATGATATTTTCAACTTTAACAACAAAATTACTCGTAAACTACGAGTTTCCTCGCCGTCCGGTTTTCAGTTTTGTGATGTGTACGACCCCCTCTACACATAGTCATTTTCTTCAAAGCGTGGTGCACTCTCGGGAAGTCAACCCCTATTAGCAACAACATTGTCAAAGTGATAAATATAGTTAAAGAAGACCTCCATTAGTATCCCCGCCGTGTTTCATAAAAAAAAATCAGTTACTTTGCGCAGAATAGCAATTGGTTCCGTAATGAAAATCTCAGCCAATTACCTAAATACTTGGGAACAAATGCACAATACCTACAAATCTCGAATTAAAAAAAAAAAATAGGATCGATAGAGACCATTGAGGTATATTTATTTTTTTTGGGAAACAACAACTACAACAATTATTAAAGGTCAAAGTTCAAATTAAGCGTTTTCTTAAATTAATATTTCTCGAAAACCTCTTCAAGGAATTGGACAATTTTGATGTCATTTGATAGAGAATTTATTTCTCTTTAATATGATATACATATACCTTTTTATACTTTTCACAAAAATCGAATTAATGTGGAAAAAAAGTATACAGGGTTTTTGTGTATAAACTTCTTTTTGCGTAGGCGGCCTTCGGCCGCACTTATCGATTATAACCCTCACAAAGTAAAATTCTCTTTCTGTGTTGCGAAGAAAAGGCGCTGAACACCTTTTGCAGAGAACACCTTTCTGCGTAGGCGGCCTTCGGCCGCGCTTATGTTGTTGTTGTTGTAGCGGCTACAACAACCCCGCCCAGATCGGTTGGTATCTCAGTCGTTGTCGTCAAGTTCCACTAACGGCAACCCTAGGAAGCGTGCAGCTTCTGTGGGGTTTGTCCACAGGGACAAGGCCGTTAGGGTTGTCGGGTTTTCCGGGCATGCGAAGAGATGTTTCGAGTCATGTGGGGTCTCTCCGCATGCCGGACACTCATTCGGCACATCCTCATTCAACCTACTCAAGTAGGAGTTCAGCCTGCTGCAGTAGCCGGAGCGAAGTTGTGCGAGTGTTGTGCGTGTCTCCCGAGGCAGATGAAGCTCCGTCTCGTCTATGTCCGGGGGTGGTATGACTAGAACGGCATTCACAGGTCTAGAGTCTACATAACTCGAGACTGAGTCCCTGTGAATGCCGTTCAGGGCCTGTCTGTAAGCTGTCGGGTCCAGAGGTTGCTTAATGAACCTCTGGACTTCGTCCGTCAGTTCATATAGATGCCTCCTGACGTGCCTAGGCGAGGGCTCCTCTGCAAGCAGCTGTCTGTTTGGGTGGCCACTTCTGTGGCTCCCGATCAGGAACTGCTTGCAGAGCATTATGTTGTGCTCCTTAACTGGGAGCATTTGCGCCTCGCCGTGCAAGTGATGTTCTGGCGACATCAGGAGGCATCCCGTCGCTGTCCTAAGTGCCGTATTTTGTCCCGTCTGTAGCTTCGTCTACTGCGTCCTACTAGTCCCTGGCGACCACACTGGCGCTGCGTAGTTCAAAACCGGCCGGCCTATTGCCTTGTATGTTGCCAGCAACGTTTCTTTGTCTTTGCCCCAAGTACTGCCGGCTAGCGACTTGAGGACCTTGTTGCGGCTCTGTACTATATTGACAATAGCGGTTGAGTGCGTAGAGAAGGAGAGCAGGCTGTCGAATGTTACTCCGAGTATTTTGGGGTTATTCACCGTCGGAATTGGTGTGTCATCGACGTGAATCCCCAGCGGTAGCCTGACCTCCTGCGTCCAGGTTGTGAACAGGGTCGCGGAGGATTTCGTAGGGGAGAGGGCTAGACACTTTGCAGTGAAGAAGCGAGAAAGTTCGGAGAGATAGCCGTTTACTTTCGAACACAGGTCATCAATTCCGTTCCCAGTCGCCATGATCGAGCATTCGTAGTGGGGAAAGGACACCACCCTGAGGAACCCCCTGTTTTATTTTTCGCTGCTTACTCGTTTTGTCTCTAAACATTACCGACGAATGTCGACCACTGAGATAATTTGCCGACCACCGTTTGAGCCTCTGTGGGAGAGGGGAGGCCTCTATATCTTCTAGTAGCGTGGAATGGCAGACGGTGTCAAACGCCTTTGACAAGTCCAACGCTACTAGAATCGTTCTCTCACAGGGACGGTTACGGTTAAGGCCACGAGTTATCTGAGTGTTTATGGCGTTAAGTGCTGTTGTTGTACTGTGCACTTTACGGAAACCATGTTGATGCTTCGCTGGGGTCAGGTGGTTTGTGAAGTACGGAAGTAGCAAGGCCTCGAGTGTCTTCGCTACCGGGGAAAGGAGTGTAATCGGACGATACGAATCTCCTTTGTTGGCAGGTTTCCCCGGTTTGAGCAGTGGGACCACTCTCCCCACCTTCCAGATGTCTGGGATGATGAGAGTGGCCATTGACAAGTTGAGGACCTCCGTTAGGTACGCTACCCCCGCAGGACCCAAATTTTTCAGCATCAGCATGCATATTCCGTCGGGACCCATGGCTTTGGAGGCTTTCGCCTTCCCGATGGCCACCTGAACTTCACCGCAAGTGAAAGCAAGGGGGGCACAATTTGTTGGCAGTTTGTGCAGCCTTCTGGTCACTCGACGCTTGGCTTTGTCTACCGGAGGATGCAGTATGAACTGCCGGCTAAAATAGCTCGCGCATCTCTCCGGGTCCGACGAAGCATGGTCGCCGAAGGAAATTTCGACTCTGTCGTCGTGCTTCGTCGGATTAGACAATGACCTCACGGTTGACCAAAGCTTGCTCACACCAGAGGTGAAATTACAAGTCTTCAGGTACTCCTCCCACTTCTTCCGCTTATGTACGTTCACAAGTTGCCGAATCTCCGCGTTGAGATCCCTGATACGGGGATCTCCGGGATCGGCCTGACGAAGGCTATCACGCTCATCAGCTAGAACAGCCGCTTCGGCAGGGAAGTTTGGACGTGGGTCCGATATACATCCTGCCGGTATGAAGCGAGCTGCAGCAGCAGTGATAGCCCTGCGGAACTTACGTTCACCGAGGTGGACGTTGGTTGGTGTGGGGAGCGCTGCGAAGGTGTTTTCAGTAAACTCCGCGTAACCTTTCCAATCAGCTTTGGAAAAGTTGATATAGGTCCGGTGTTTGGCGGAGGCAAAGTCGGTTGGTTTATCAATCGAGATGACTATGGGTAGATGGTCTGATGCTAGAGTCAGCATAGGTCGCCACGTTATGCTGTTTATCAGACCAGCGCTGACTATTGTGATGTCTGGCGAGCTACTGCAGTTACCCATAATCCTGGTGGGTGCGTCGTCGTTCATTGTGCAGAATGTCGAATCGTCTATCTGCTCAGCCAAGTCTGTTCCCCTACGATCGTTTGACAGGCTTGAGTGCCAAAGATCGTGGTGCGCATTAAAGTCACCTACTACCATACGGTTTTCACCTGAGGAGCGCACCTATATCAGGGTGATATCCTGCCGGGCAGCAGGTGACAGGGGGTATGTATATATTAAATATTTCGAGCTCGACATCGCCTGACCGGATAGCGATGCCCTGACATTCTAGGGTGGTATCCCTGCGGTCGATGTCTGCTTCGATAAGACGATACTGCACGGTGTGGTGCGCGATAAACGCTAAGCCACCACCATTATCTCGCTCGCGATCTCGACGGTGCACGTTGTACCCGGCGCAATTCAACAAAGTTGAATTGCTGTGCAGCTTCGTCTCTTGGACCGCAGCTATTAATATACCATGCCGACACATGAAGACGGTTATCTCCTCAATCTTGCTCTGTAGCCCGTTACAGTTGAATTGGAGGAGCTTCATGTGGTTCGGGAGACGTGTCGTGATGTGAGGTGTGAGTGAGGTGTATGTTCTTGCCGCCGTTGGCTGTGTGTGCTGCTGAGGTGGTTGCCGTCCTGTGGTGGTGGTGGGGGCGTAACAATTGACGTCTGCGACCGAGCAGCACTACACGGGCCCTCGAAATTCCCCGTCCAATCTCGCGTGGTACGCAGACCTGAACATGCCCTAAAGTGGCACCAGCCAAGGCAGGTGTTGCACTTGACTGATGTCACATTACGGAATATTCTGGTCTGACATACCGTGCAGATTGTAGGGGGAACCAGGAGTTGTTGGCGGCGGCGTGTGGGTGGTGGTGCGGTTGTGTGAGTTATGTGGTCAGTGGTGGCTGTGGTACGGTCTGTGGTGTTGTTATGTTGTTGTGTAGTGGCGACTGTGTGTAGTTGCTGTGTATGTTCTTGCCGCCGTTGGCTGTGTGTGCTGCTGAGGTTATTGCCGCCCTGTGGTGGTGGTGGGGGGCGTCGCAATTGGAGTCTGCGACCGAGCAGCGCAACACGGGCCCTCGAAGTTCCCCGTCCAATCTCGCGTGGTACGCAGACCTGAGCATGCCCTAAAGTGGCACCAGCCAAGGCAGGTGTTGCACTTGACTGATGTCACATTACGGAATATCCTGGTCTGACATACCGTGCAGATTGTAGGGGGAACCAAAAGTTGTTGGCGGCGGCGTGTGGGTGGTGGTGCGGTTGTGTTTTTTTTTTTTTTCAACGGAGGGGGAATCTTCCAAAGATGTTATGCACGATTCGTCATCCTGTCCGCTAAGGGTGCACCTCATTCGGGACCAC